GGTACGTAGCCAGGAATTCGGAGGCAGCTGATTTTTTGCTGCCCCCACCAGTAGGCTCCTCCCAGGAAGTCCGAAGAATCCTCTCATTTTGATGGGGATGTGGATCCCTTGAAAATCTTTTAAAATCACTCTTGGAGACTTCAGTTGTTCCTTTTCCATTTCCGGAACCACCTTTTTTATTGTCTTCCAGCATACTATGGTCAGATATGATCTCATGTCCATCACCATATCACAACCGTGATATGGAATTTCTTTGAGTGCCTTATGATAATTTGGTTTGTTTGTTTCTTTTTCGTCTTTGGCTCGGTTCTCTCCTCGGTTGTTCTTTGTGAATTTATCTCTTTGTAATCCTGTTTGTTTTTCTGACTGCTGTGCGGATGGCCATTGTTAGTACATAACTGACTGGTTAGCTTGGCAAGCCTTTGCAATGTGCCCCTTCCGACTGCATCTTTGACAAATTGTATCCAGGAATCTGCAGCTCACTCTTGGATGATTCCCTCCGCAGCCAGCACATAATGGCGGTCTTCCTCACATCTCTGGATTCCCTTTTTTTCTTTTGGATCGTATTTGATGCACCTCATCATCCTCATCTCTGGAGTCTTTGGGCTCCCAGCTTTCCTGATGCACTATAGTTGTTCTTTGAGGTGCATTTATGTTTCCTTCTCTTTGGATCGACGCTGCTGATTTGTTGGTATTGCTTCCGCTGTTCTGGCTTCTTATAATGCTGCCTTGTGAGATTCGGTTTTGAAAGTAGCGTTCTCTGTAGATTAAGGTCGCTCAATCCCAATACAAGTCTATCTAGCATGGCTTCTTCTATATTAGTAAATTTGCAGTGAACTGTGGTTTTCTGCAAAACGACAAAGTACTGATTAATTGTCTCACCTTCCTCTTAACACCTGTTACAAACATTGTGTTTGTTCACCATCATAACAGTAACATTTTCCCAATTGAAACTATGGTTAAATAGCAATAGCATTTAGTCATATATACTGCTTCATGGTGCTTTACAGCCCTCTCTGAGTGGTTTACAGAGTCAGCCTCTTGCCCCCAACAATCTGGGTCTCATTTTACCCACCTCGGAAGGATGGAGGCTGAGTGAACCTTGAGCCTGGTGAGATTCAAACTGCTAAACTGCAGGCAGACGGCAGTCAGCAGAAGAAGCCTGCAGGACTGCATTCTAACCACTGCACCCCCTTGGCTCTAAATCTGTCTATGTTGTGCAATGAAAGAATTTTCATCATGTCTTCTGACTGCCAGTTGTGTTCGTGGCTGCCTTCTGCCAGTCTTCTGCCTGTTTGTCCAAGATAATGGTTGTTGCAGTCCTTACATTGTGTGTTATGTAAATGACTCCTGTTTTTTCTTCTTCTGGGGTTGGTGGGTCTCTTGGTCTGCTTGGGATGTTTTGAAGAGCTGTAAGTTGGTTTGTCTGCTGTGTTGATTCCATGTGGTTGTAGGAGTCTCTTGGTGGCTTCTGAGATCTTCTTCATGCATGGCAGTGTGATTTCTTTTAGGGCTGGTGTTGGTTCTGCTGAGTTGAGTGTTGGGTTAAGTGGTCAGGGACTTACTGATAAAGTTGTATGGATATCCATTTAGTTGGAATGTGTTATATAAATGTTCCATTTCCTTTTTCTGCTGTTCTGGGTTGTTGCGGTGTGTTTGGGCTCATCTAAATAAAGTCCTTATGCAGCTTCTGGGTGGTTTTTCTGTAGACTTGAGTGTCTAGTTTGCACCAAGGACCCCTCATGTCAACCCTGACTACAAATATTCTCCCTTATTTACAGGTAGTCCTTAAACGATGACCACAATTGAGCCCAACATTTTTATTGCTAAGCGAGACAACTTTAAGTGAATTGCTGCAGTTAAATTAGTAGTACGGTTGTTAAGTGATTTCCCTATTGACTTTGCTGGTCAGAAGCTTGCAAAAGGTGGTCACATGACCCCAGGACACAGCAACCATCATGAATGCAAGCCAAGCATCCGTATTTTGACCATGTGACTCTGAGGATGCTGAAACGGTTGCTAAGAGTGAAAAATGCCACTTTCTTCAGTGCCACTGTCACTTTGTACGGGCACTAAATGAACGGTTGTAAATCAAGAACTGCCTGAACGTTCTCAAGGTAGGTAGGGCGTGGTCATCACGGGTTCTGGCTGCCACCACTGCCAGTTTGCTCAGGGATGCTCTGCGTGGGGTTGGTCGTGCTATGCCACACATGCACACTAATATAAAAAAAACAAGATGGTGGCACCATAGCACTGCATAGAAACAGTTCGGGGGCATGGCCGGACGAATTACTACCTAATCAGCCGAACCAGTCCGAACAGGTAGGAACACTGATTACATCAGTGATTTTTAAATTTGCAATGGATGCTTGAAAAGCAATAAATTAAACACAGTTTATATTGAAAAGGTTCAACTGCATCTCAGTTCATCCCCTCCCCCCTCCAGTGCTCTGAATCAGAGTGGCTAACTTAATCAGCATCCCATAAATTGGATCAAGACAATCATGGGAGGAGATGGGGTTCAGTCTGGTGGTAAATGGCAGAAGCCTCCAGGCACGGAGCCCATTTGTTTACCTGGACAGCAGCCTGTCTTTTTCCTTACCTCTCCATCTCCTCCTTCAATTTG